CAGCAGCGGCCGCTCCCGGGGCCAGGTGCGCCCGGCCCCCGCTCCGCCGCCCCTCCCAGACGGAGACCGTACCTGCAGGAACAGCTCGTAAAGAATCTCCTCCCGTACTCGGGCCTCTAAATTCCCCACGAACACGGTCCTGTCGGCCTCCTCCTGAGCAGGGAACATCCCTCCGGCCTGGGCACCAGAACCGCGGAGGCGCCGAGACCCCGCCCCGCATCACGGCGCCTCCAGGGCGAGGGGGCGGAGCCGGCGAGAGGGCAGCCACGCGCCGGGGGCGGAGCGAGGGCGCGAGGCCACGCCCACCGCGCCCTGCGGGAACCGCCCGCGACGCACCCGCTCCGTCCCGGGTCTGGCTGGGGGAGTGACAGTGGATGAGGAAGCTTAGTATGCAAGGGGTCCTTTTTATTGGGCACAGTCTTGATTTTGGATTTATTCTACCAGCGTTTTAAGTTAAATGACTATTAAGACTTAGTAACTTCATTACAACAGCTTCCAGAACAATGAGGAAAGGATGCCTGCATGACTGTAGATGCAACACAATGCTAGAATTAAAGTATATTTAACTAGGAGCTGCTTCCTAGAGAAGACTTTGAAAATGGTTGCAGACATTTTAGGGATATTTCAGAAGGTATTTGGACTTGAGAGAGGCTATCCCAAAGAATACTCTCAAAGCATTCCAGCTTGAGGTTTAGCAGGACTGTTGCCATTTTGAAATTAAGAAAGGTCTCTGACAAGAACAATCCAACCAAGTGCTGAGTCATGAGTAGATCTGAGAGGATAGGATATATGAGAAACCTGGGCTGGATATTAGGAAAATAGGAATCAGGATAATTGCTCAGAGGAAACCAATGAATTTTCATTGTAGTGAGTAATGATTTATAGAGTGCTCATGTTTTCTATCTGTAAAAACTGAGCTTTTTGAGACAGTTTAATGGTGCTTATTGACTGTCTCCCTGCAACCTGGTTGCAAAAATAAACTTCCTTCTCCAAACTCTGCCTTTTGTTTCATTGATCAAGAGTAGAAGCAGTCAGACTTGGTTAAGGAGTAACTAACTTGGTAAGGGATTTCCCTTACAAACTTTGCCAGTAACATTCCAAAGAGTAGGAGCTTTGTGGCTGCAGCCAGAATTCTTGAGGATGGTGGATGAAGGTTTACAGCAGGACCCAGCAGTTGTACTTTTTTATCAGCTCTATTTTGTAAATAATGCACAAGGTTAAAGTGTCTTTCTCACTTGAGGATTAAAAATAAAAGTCTTAAAGGCAACAAAGGTAATTTAAGGAAAAAAGAAAACTTAGGATCTAAGAACTTCGATAAATAATCTGTCAGCTGTTACCTTGGTTTCCTTTCTCAAAGTCCATACATCCACATAGGATGCTGAACTCATCCTGTAAATGCAAGTCATTGGACATCATTTGGCCTTTAGTTTAGCAAAATGATGAGAATTCATTTTGAACTGAAGAAGCATGCTTTTGTTTGGTCAATCAAAAAAAAAATCTTTCCCAATAAAAGGAAGCACATTTTAGGAAACACTAGGTTGTAATTAAACCTTAGCATTACTTAGTTTTATGACTTTGAGCAAGCAATTTCTCTCTGAAATTCAGGTTCTGTTTCTTAAGGAATGGCTGGGACTACATATAATTATTTAATTAAATAAATGTTTTCTGAGTGTTTCCCATGTGCTAGGTACAGACTTTAATCCTTAGAAACAAAGGTTAATAGAGAAGTTGGCCTTTACAAAGCTTACAACTTAGTGGAATAGGTAAACATCCTATTCACTCAAAATTTTGCAGAAAAATGAAATTAATATGCAAGTATATTTTGGTGCAATTTTTTTGAAACTCATGCATAGTTTTTAAAATTATATCCGTTTTTAAATAACTTTATGAAGTCCTCTGATACAAATACGTGTCAGTAACTTCAGTAGTTATCTCCAGTTGGTATCATGAGTCTTTCAGTCCTGTCTCGGTTTTTACTCTTTTCTCATCAACTTTCAACTGTTGTAGAAATAGCTATAGTAGGGTATGGAAGGTTGAGGAAACTAGCACACTGTAGATAATAACAAATACATGTTAATCAAATGAATGGACCCTTGCAAGTCAAGCCCCAGTTGTGTGCAGATTTCTAGATATAGTTGCCTTTATTTACCTCAAAAGTCTTACCCAACCAATATATTTCCTCCTTAAACTCGCCTTGGACACTACTTATCTCTGAGCTATGACTTCAGGTTACATTGTAAATTATTCAATGCATAATTATGACAATGCATACTATAAGCCATTTTATTTGTAGATATTTATTGTTATAATGAAATTTATGTCATTATCTGCAAACATGCATGATTTTAATGTTCTTACCACTTCCTCTTCTCTATTGGTTGTATATAACTTTATGGGGTTGTTAATTTGTGTGCTCATTCGATGGTATAAGCTCTGAAAGTCAGCTCATGCAATTAGATGTCCAGAGTTTGACCTCAATATATCAGTTTTCTAATGTAAGCACACTGCATTCCCTAACTGATATTAAATGCATACATGTAATAAATCTAGTAGTAACTAAAATTAATTCACTTTACTCTCACCATTTAATGACTTATTCATCAAATATCAAAGTTCAATGGGTTAAATGTATGCATACCCTATAAAGAATCAGCCTTTCCTCATTCATATCAGGGTGCCTTACACTCCTAACTAAACAAACCAAAAATTAAAACATATATGTAAGTATTATAGGTACCTAGAGCTCTTTTTCACTTTCTTTACCCAGTTGACTCTTATTCTCTCTTGTTGCCAAGGCCAGGTAGCGTATCCTACAAGTCTTCCTTGAACTCTTTCATCCAAATTAGTTGTTTGACTCACTTGTGGGGTTCCATAGTTCCCTAAATATACCTCTGTCAAGTCCTCCTCACTGTTAACCATGGCAGAATGTATATATTTGCGCATCTAGGGCAATCTAGTATATCTTTGGGTATATAATAAGTAGTTGTTGAAATAATACAGTTTTGAATATTAAACATCTCTACTTTGTACATTCAACAACAAAGTCTGGAAACCAATAAGTGTTTAACAGAAGTTGCATAAGTGAGTGAACAAAGGAATAAGTTAATGGGAAAATTTGGCAAATTATTTTTGAAGGACTTTATTGGATGCTATTTGTAATATCCTCATTTCTGTTTCTCCTTTTTTAAATCTTTATTTTGTCTAAAATGTGATTTTCCTTAGTTTTCCCATGTAAATATGATTTTTGTTATGGTCTATGTATTAAATGTTTATTATAAAGAAATACTTTAATATTTTTTCAGATATTTCAAATTTTTAATCTTATAATCAGAAACTATATCTTCAAATTTCACTGAGCTTTTTTTATTTCTCTTTCAGTTTTTAATTTTTTTATATTAATTCACTATTCATCATTATAGTATACAAAATGAATTTTCCATCTAAAATACACTGTCTATTGGTGCAATAAATCACATCAACATACATACAAAGAATTTTCCATTCCTTATGTCTTGTATATTTTGCTTTTTTTTTTTTCATCCTTGATTCCCTATCCCTACCCCTCTACCCTGTCCAATCCTCCTCCCACATTGTCTCTGGTATCCATGGTTGCTTTCTATGCCTTCCCCCCCTCCCCCGTTTAATTGATTTGTTAATGAACTTAATTTGTCTGAATATTTGCAATAGCAAGCACAACTGATATATACATACACATGAATCCATGTCTGACTTTAGGCATAAACCTCAGTGAGTAGAATGAACATACTATGAAATAGTACGTAGCTGGGGCTATATAGCTTACTGTGGTCATCAAATACAGTTTCTTTTTTTTTTAATTTCGATAACAGTTTTAGTGTTTTTCTTTTTTTTTCTTCTGAAAATTTTATTTTTATTAATTTGCTTTCATTCCCTGAGCATCATCACAACATACTAAATATGGTTTCTCATCTAGAATAAACTGCATAGTGGCTTAATCATGCATGTTATCATCCATAATATTCCATTTCTACTTTCATATATGTATGTTTTTTACCCCATGTCTGACCCTCTGCCCTATTCCACTCTCTTATTACACTCTCTGTGCTGTCTACAGTTGTCTTCCTTTTCCCCCAACATTTTGTTGATCACACAATAT